GACCAGAACAGCGTCGAGGGGCGCATGGTGGCAGTTACAGAGACAGAACGCAGGTCGAGATTCCTGCGGCCTTTATATTCCTGCGGCTGACGTGTCAACCGTTGGCATTCAAACCTCTCCGTCTCTTTCTTGTTGTATACATACAGTTTCAGACTCCTTTGACGCGTTCCATCGCAGTCTGACCGCGCTATACGGTATATCGACGCGTCTTGGGCGCGCGTGCCACGTCGGGCGGAACACGAAACACGACGTGTCACTCAGTCAGCACCCCCTCCAGTCAACGCGACTGGGCCGACATCTCCCCTTGCAGCCTTGTGGCTCGCATCGTTCGCCACTCAACTGACCCTGGCGGACCTCGTGCTTTCCTCTGCACCTTCTCGGCAAAACACATAATAACGAACTGAATAGGATAATGGGGTCCACAGCAGACGCGTACGCAAGTTTGTGAGGGAAAGTATGTCTACAGCTGAGATAGATCAAAGTCGCTACCGCGTGGACGTCCACTTGGGTATCTGCGCGTGCGTGGCTCGAACGGACGCGGGGGAGGAAATCCGGTGGGGAAGTAGTGCGAACCCGAGTTCGGCGGCGGGTCAGGGACTGTAAGGGTAGAATCGCGATCAGCGCGCATGTTTAGATAGAGAAACGATGGATGCTTACTTTTCCGGTTGTTTGTGTGTGAGGTTATGCCGCCGTTCGAGATGACAGACGAAGGCGTCGGCTCGGGTGCACGACGGCTGGGCGGAGCAGCAGGCGGTGGCGGTGGCGCAGCTGCGGGAGGCGGTGGAGGAGCGGGTGCGGCCGGGCGAGGTGGGGGAGCAGCAGATACGGGCCGCGGAGGTGGTGCGTGCGAGGTTGGACGGGGAGGAGGGGCGGCTGGAGGCGGAGGCGGAGGCGGAGCTGCCGACGCAGGACGGGGAGGTGGATGAGATGGCGGATCCAATCTCTCGGACACTGTCCTGTTCCTCGAGGGTGGTGCCGGTATGTTTCGCCTCGGGATGCTTGGTGGTTCGTCGCTCGGCTGGTCACTCATGGACATCGAGCGCTGCCGAGAAGGAGGCGGAGGTGGCGCCAGACTCGAATGGCCGTTCGCCTTACGCGGCGGGGGCGCAGGAGGGGCGCGCGCCGGGAGCGTTGGCGCCGAGGATACGGGCCTGGCAGGAGGCGCAGGGGGCAGACGACCAGCCACCGTCGGTTTCCGGGGAGGTGGCGCGGGAGGGGCTCCATGATGGGGTGGAGGGGTCGAGCGAGGCGGCGTCGGGGGTACAGAGCGTGAGGGCATCGACGCCACCGAGCTGGGCCGCGCAGGTATCGACGGCACGGCGCGGGCCGGTAGACTGGGAGGCGCATGTGGCGCGGACGGTGTTGGACGCGGCGGTGCGGGCGGCGCACGTGCAGGCGAGCTCGTCGCGGGCGGAGGGGGAGGCGCAGGAGGAGCCGCGCTGCTGGGCCGCGGCGGTGGTGCGACGGGCGGCCGAGGCGCCGCAGCGCTGGGTCGGGGCGGGGTAGGTGCAGGCCGACTCGTCGGCGGTGGCGGCGCGGGCGGGGCCGGCGCTGCTCTCGGGGGTGCCGGCGACGAACGATTCGGTATTGACGGCGCTTTGGCAAGGCCTGACGCGTACAAAGTGAGGATCAGTACGAGACATGAATTCGAGTACAGCCGAATATACCGGCCGCTGCTGCATTTCCTATGCTCTGGCCCGTCGACTTGAGCTTCGGGATCCCACCGGCGAACAAGCCTCCAAGCTGCGGCGCCCCTCCCCCGCCGCCGCCACTCGCATCGCCACCGCCACCGCCTCCCCCAGCGCGACTCGCTATGGCAGCCGCGATCCCGGCTGGCCCGCCGCCGCCGCCGCCGCCTGCCCTCGAGGCCTTCGCATCCACTATCGGCCCACTTCTATCATTCGTCTGCGCCTTCTTCAGAGCCTTCCCCGCCTGAATCTGTTTCAGCAGTTCGCTCGAGGCCATCCCGCCTGTCGTGGTCGTCGTGAAGTAAGGAGGTGCGCGTCCCACAGCGCGCCAGAGATCATCTTGATGACGCCCATTCGCAAACAATCACAAATATAAGCGCCCAATACAGCCGCGCTGACCACCGCCTCTCTTGTCTTCGGCTTCCACCCCGAAGGGCAGGCCTTGTCTCATTCACTCCGCAGGAATGCAATGGCGTACAAACCGCCAGTAACTCTTGATATCCCTTCAAACCCGAGAATCAGCGCGATGATCGATGATTCACGGGCTGTGCTGATGACGATCTGCCGACCTGGTACGTAGGGACGTACTCAAGTCTTATGTCTCTGATCTAGGGTTCTGGTTGGGCAACAGCTGCCAATCATTGGCACTCCCCGTGTCGTTGAGCGCTCTCCTAGCTCTGATGACGAGAGTACGACGGCCTTCGGGGAGATCTGGCGGCGGCCAGCCTTGTGCTTATTAGTATACCAGAGCACTTCAATCCTCAGCGAACCCTTCTGCTCTCGACCATCATCACGGTATCTTACTTCGTCGTCTACTGTCTCTTCGCGTGCTCAGACGTCCCTTCTCTAGGATGTCGGCCCCGAAGCCCACCTTTGACGGCACGATCCCCTTTGAATACAAAGCAGAGACGTATCAAACCTACTGCAAGGTGCGATACAATCGTTTCGTCGCACCTATCAGGGCATTGACATTGAAACCAAGGTATACGGGGACCTGACGTCGAGCACGCGCACGCCACTCGTACTCTTGCACGGCGGACCCGGCCTCTCGCACGATTATCTTGCTCCCTTCGTCGACCTGACGGTGAATGTCTCCATCCCGGTCATTCTATACGATCAGCTCGGCAACGCACGCTCTACTCATCTGAAAGAGAAAGACCCGACGTTCTGGACCATCGACCTCTTCATCGATGAGCTCGAGAATCTGCTTAGACACTTCGAAATCGAGGGTGCCTTCGATCTGTGCGGACACAGCTGGGGCGGCGTTCTCGGGGCTGAATTTGAGATTCGTCGCAAGCCGGCTGGCTTGAAGCACCTTGTCCTCTCCGACTCGCTTGCGTCGGGCAAGCTTTGGGGCGAAGCGACTCGCGAGCTCATCATGGGTTTCCCTGAAGAAGTCGGCAAGGGCTTCGCCGCCGGGATGAAGGACCCGCCTGCTTTCCTCGCCGCCCTCAAGGCCTTTCATGCTGTTCACGGTTGTACCGTGAAGCCGATGCCTGCGGAGGTTACGTATACCCTCGACCGTGTTTTCGGCGCTGATGGCGACCCTACTGTCGCATCTGCCCCGTAGGTCGCTCAATAATGCCTTTGAGATTAGGTTGTTGACTGTCCCCTCAGTATCATGCAGAACTGGACCATCGAGGAGAGGCTTCCAGGTATCCGTGTCCCTACGTTTGTTATCAACGGCCGGCATGATCAAGCGACGGACAAAGTTGTCGCTCCTTTCTTCAAATTCATCCCGAAGGTCAAATGGGTCACTTTCGAACAATCCTCGCATATGCCGTTCTGGGAGGAGCGTGAGAGGTATATGAAGCTCGTTGCAGAGTTTCTTCAGCTTTGAGTCGTGGTTGCTATCGTTTGTACGCTTGTAACATAGACTCCCAATTTGCGCATAGCAACCTCAGCCCTCGTTTATCGTGCGTGCGTACGAACTGACGGCCAATTACGCTCAAGTTGCGGCCCAGAGTCTGTCAGGTGTTCACGGCATGGATGTTCACAGCCACCTTGATCCCGACAAAGTCCCTTGTCCCCCCATACTTGGTACGTGTGCCCTCAGACATAGAACGCACTCAATGGGCGACACCGCTTACCGATTCTGATTGAGAATGTTCCCTTACTGGCCGCATCAAGATATTTATACCGATTACCGCAACATGATATCTCCAGCCTGGGGTATACTGCGGTTCAACACATGTGTCTTTATGCCGGACGTTCGCGTATAGCAGCCTCGCGCAAACTGCCGCAAATGTTTACTTACCCCGGAGGGCCCTATCATGTATCTACTCCAAGAGCAGGAGTCGTAGCAGCAATGTCGCCGGTAACGTAGCAGCAGTGCTCATCATCATTGCCATTTCTACTGCTCTCCTTGTTGATGGTACCTTCTTCGATGAGTGACAGTGGCACTCAGTGCGAACGTGGATTCTCCATGCTTACTCTCTCATCCTGTCAATGCTGTTGTCCATCGCCGCGACTCATTTCCGTGATCTGAATCGACACTCATGACAGATCCTCGTGCTTGCATCTTCCCCCAAGACCTAGCATCCGGGCATATTTCACAATGTGGGATGACGCCTTCAATGATTGTGATGTTGCGCCTGCGTGTGAAAAGTCTCATTCTGCGGGAGCCGTCGTTCGAACTGCCGAAAATAAATACCCGAACTGTTCTCTGAAAGTAATCGAATCCGCGAAATGATCCTGTACGTGGAGTACTGTACAGTGGTAAACGAATGTAATAGCTATTAATCAATTTGAGCTAGTTCCATCCGCAGTCTTACATGCAATGAGCGAAGCGATATCGAACCCAAAAGCTGAGAGTAGATGCAACCAATAAAGAACACGTGACGACATCTCAACTAGCGACCTCTTCACTCGGACGCTTCTCTTCAGCAGTAGGCGTAGTGTTGCGCGGAGTGTGTTCGCTATCTTTCCCTTCAGCCTCGAAAGTTTCCGCGAATGCGGACCGGGGTATGAAGCGGCCCGGCCAAAAGCCGATGTAAATGACCACAGCAATGAAAAGCGGGAGTGTGTCGAGGCCGTAGAACAGGCCCTCGTTGCGGGCTATCGGACCCTTGAAGCCTTGCGAGAGCTCGACGACACGGTAGAATGAACGAATCTGATTTGAGACAGATGAGTTTCAATAGGGCATAGATCATGAGACACGTACAATGATTCCAACACAGCTAACGCCGAGTGCACCAGCCAAGGCCCGCCAGTCGCGCCACCAGACGAGGGCGGAATCCTTTGACCACACGGCGGCTTCACGCTTCCACACCAGCCAGAGGAATCGTATATATACGGCAGTAAATGTGACGAAGGAAGCAAGTTGAATGGCAAGACCGGCCAAAAAGATATTGGAACCGATCTTGTTAACCTTGGCAGTGTCTGCCGCGATAGAAACGCCCCCGCCGGCCGCCTGGATGAGAAATGTCGTGATGTCGGACATGAGAAAGACAATCATGATCTTCGCAGGCGGGATGAGTAGATGCTGTCCCACACGAAGGTGCCGAGCGAGGCGCCCAAGAAGAATGTAGTCCGCCGCGATAAACGCGCAAGGCTGTGGCAATCAGTGAGAGGGAAGCTGACCGAGATCACAGTAGAAACGAACCGAAAGGACGACAAAAAGGTACTCCACAATGTAGATCGACTTGCTATCGGGCATGCTGTGTAAGCCCCATCTGCTACCAATTCCTATGGCAAACGCTGGACACGACGAAGTTCAGCGGCGGGAGCCAGAGAGCGAACACAACTTGTTTGACTCACTGTATTCGCCGATGACCATGCCTTCCGACAGAGTGTGAGAGAAGTGTCCACGCGAGGAGAGTGTGCGACTCACAAGCCATCCACCTGGCGCCCCATCTCCACATCATGAAGGTTTGCACAACGGCGCTAGCGACGATGAGAGCTATGATGGCGGCCTCAGTGGAATGGTAGCTGAAGATGTAGGAAAGACCCACCGAAGGCGACGGAAGTGAGGCTATTAGAAGCGATGTACGCCAGAGGGTTGCATGGGTCCAACTCTGGGTTCGCGAAGGGGTCTGCCGCACAAGGTATGTCATTGCCTTTCTTGGCGAGAACGGCAACTGGGGCCAGCAGAGCGGTAAGAGCAGCGAGGACGAGCTGCATGACGGTCGGCCTGATGATGATGGGCGGAGACAAAGAAAGCCGATCTCCACAAGTCAGTCGCCAGGCCGCAGAAAGATGCGGGACGAGTGCGCGGGGAAGCTTTAAGCGCGCGTCCTTGCACAGGTCCGTTCCTTCGCGCAGATGAGCAGATGAGAAAAGCTATTCATTTATTTATATTGAGCATCCTTAGTCCTTATAACTTCAGGAAGTCGGGCCATGGCACCAGACCGAGGAGGCCGAGAGGGGGAAAAGGCAGCAACACGGTCAAAAGGAGAGTCCTGGTCCGAGCCATGGTCAGGAACCCCGACGGCTTCTCCATCGGTGGTCCGGAATCGCCACGTGCGACTCAGCTTGCAAAGCCACACTGCTCTCGGTCACTTCAACGCGGTCCACCACGAGCGTGCATAGGCCCTTGCACTATTCGAAAGTAAAGCTGTTACTTAAGCACTTGGCTTCCTCGCCTCGCAGCCGATTTGAGTTCCTGCACTTGGTGAAAAAACGCAACCTGTGCAGCAACGCGACGAATAAGCACCGCACAGAGCAGCGAGGCCGGCGCACAAACCGTCTCAGGCGAGCTGCGCTCAAGGGAATATGATCACTGCGACACGAGGATGCGACGTCAGGCGTTCGTAGCACCTGTAAACCATGCAATGTCACTGAATACCCTAGGACTTGCATGCGTGTCGTATGTTGCAAACTGCGCTGGAGATCGAGGTGCGCGAATATAACTTGAGATGCTGAGTAATCTTCCGACAGCGGAGCGAAGACATAGCCACTACCCGACGATTGCAGTGCCATGCTCGAGATAGGACTATCTTCCTTCAGTCAGTATAAAATCGCGTATGCCGTGCGCCACGCTCTTCATACCGCTCACCCCCGCATACTGAACATGTCTGAAGCACCCTCGTACTCTGTTGAACCCGCCCACGACGAACGCCGTCTGCGCATTACTGATGATGGTCATGGCGCATCGAACGACCCTGCCGGACAAGAAACTTTATCGCTTCACGACGACGGCATCACGATTGTTCTCAATAATCAGCGAAAAGACGCTCGACACCCCACGTACAGACGCAACGCCTCAGTTGTAGGCGAAGTATCCCTTTCGAGCACGCAGGGAGTAACTTCGATTTCGATGAGGGTATGTAGAACTACTGTCACCGTACAGTAGTCCGCTAAAATTCACTTCCGCTAAAGCTAGGGGGGAAGGCGACGATTAACTTCAGCACGGCACCCATACATATAATCGAATTGTTGGACATTCCCTTGACTCTTTGGGAGGTCGAGAGCGCGAGCGCCTGCCCCACCACTCTTCCATTTGCCTTTGTTTTTCCGGGAAATTGCGTGGATAAAGAGTCGGGCTCGTCGCATGCCCTTCCACCGTCATACGATCCGCTTGGAGAGTCCATATCGCTGCAAGATCTGCATGTACGATGTGTGTATCGGCTCTCAGTCCATATCGCCCGTCCACGGTGGATGCCAGACAAAGTGTGGGTTTCACGCACATTATTCAACTCACGCCGAGCCTGACTTATAGCCGCTCAGGATTAATGTAGACATCGAGTATGCACCCCGGACGGCCCCACCTAGAGCCATGTTGATCACTCCCTTTCCGTTCCGCGATACCATCAGAGCTTATCCCGAGGAATGGTGGCGGACGAGTGCGATATTGCCTGTAAGACCGGATTCAGTATTGCAGCCTATCGATTGTGATGTGAGTCTGCTTCCTATGAGCGCCGCCTCAAGTCTAACGGTTCTTACTTTTGGGCGTATAGCTCTTCATACCATCTGTCCGCATTTTCGCCAGGCGAGATGTAATCCCAGTCTTTCTGCAGCTCCGTGGTACAAGCTCTAGCATCTCTGCACTCTTCAGCACAGAAGATAAGACACGAGGACTTGCTCGTCGGCTGCTCGCAATCACGCGTGGCTCTAAGAAACCACTCAACGTTGACATTGTCGTCCAACGCCAGGCCACAGCACTCACGAACGACGGAGAGATCTCACGATCATACACCGCTGGCACGTCATCTCTATACTCGGTTCCTCCTGGATATACACCGCCAGGGATGGACTCTGACACGTTCACCGTCGACTACGAGGGCGAGATTAACCTCGCACCACATGTCACTGTGGGTGGATTCAATATCGGCAGGCTTCGTGTGTCGGTGAGCATTCTGTGCTTACTATCTTCCCTTCTTACTTACGATGAATGTAACACCCCTTCAGGACTTTATTGAACTCTCTGTGCAGCCTTCTGGCTCCGCAGCAAACCAGTTCGCAAGTTTGGTGCATTCAGTGCCCGTACGCATCGTTACAGGCTGGACTTGACAAGCTTGAGCCATAATTTCGAATAGGGAATCAGTCTAGCTATCTCGATTCCAGCAGATATGTATTCGACTAGACGTAGAATAGCTGTTCATTCATACTAGTAGTGTTGAACGTGATAGCATCGCTCACAGATACCATACCGGCCTGGCAGGACCGATGGATCCCACATTGTACTAACGTGCGAGATCTGTGTGCCAAGAACGATCGGGACTATAAATGTCAACTAAGATAGGGTTGGGGAGACGGTGAAGGAGAGAGGGGGAGGAGCGTGGACTGCAACTTGACTACGTAGAACATTGGCGATAGCAGGGTCAAACGATAGCGTAGACGTGCCCGTGTTAAAGCCCAGTTTCATCCCAGTCCGCAAAAGCTGCAATCTGGTCGTATACTACTGGTGCAGAGCCCTTGTTCCTCCTGGGTACTCTGTACCACACGAGCGCATGCCTGTCCTGGCGGTCAATCGCGATGCAGGCAGAATCCGCGGATCGGCGAATGGGCATCCTCTCCTACACTGCTGAACGCATTCTCAACATGCACTAGGATGGCATTTAACTGTCCACAAGACCCTCAGTATACAATTCGTTACTTGAACACGCCGTTTTCAACCAGAGTACCATAGGCTGAGTGGTCGCTGTCACGATAGACAATGTATCGATGTGGCGTGTCACTTGCAACTGAGGCGAAGAGCGACCATGTATGGCAGTGCATTGAATTTTGCAGACCGAACAACTTGTACAGGAAAGAAGTAAAATACAGAAACATCCGACCCCTTCGTACACGTTACACGACGATGAGTGTCCTCCATGATCCATCCGGTCGTAAGCGAGGGAGCATACAGAGAACAGAGAACAGACGCGAAGAAGGGGGTGTAGACATCGATCAAGACAGAAAGGGAAAAGCGACAACAAGCAGAGGGTCAATTTGATTATAGCGAGAAGAGAGCAGCATGCGTCTGCGGACGAGACTAGAAGTACATGTTTGACGAGAAAAAGGGAGTTGCGTGTATACGCGGATGCTAGACGCTGAGCATGCTCACTTTTGCTGCTGGTCGGCGTAAGGGTTGACGCTGTATACCTTGATGACCGGCGGCGACTTGGACAAGTCGGCAGTGACGATGACCGGCACGGTCATGAGTTCCTTAATCTCCTGAATCTTATGACCCGACGGCGTCGTCTTGAGGCCCTCGAATGGCGGCATGACCTTCGCCTTGGAGCGCTGGCGCTGCTTGCTATCAGCGTCCCACTTGTCCGCCCTGGGTTCGCGCTCGAGCACAACCTCATCCTCGCCGTCGTCCTCGTCGAACAGCGCCGCCTCGTCCTGCACACCGCGGCTGGCGACCTGCATCATGCGCGTGTGATGTTCCGCATTCTCCTTGACCTTCTTCAAGTGCTCGTCATCGCTGTTCTCCGCAAGCCAGGTGATGACGTCGCGGTTGGACCAGTAGATCTGGAGCGAGTGCGAGTGCTCGTCAAACACATGATTGTCGATCGGCATCTGGTCGACGTGCACGCGCTTCTCGATACCAAACTCAGGGACGTAGACGTCAAATGCTGCATCGAGGACGTTGATAACCTTGGCCTCGCGCACGACAGGGCCGAAGCGCGTCGTGAGATCCGCTATCATCAAGCAGAGGAACAGATGAGTGCTTTGCTCCTGCGCGAGACGAGCGCTGTCCGTCTTGATGTTGCATTGCTGAGTGACCTTGGCAACCGCGTCACGATCCATCGCGAACTTGACGTCACCACCCTGAAGCACACTCTCGAGTTGACGATGAACGATGACATCGGCGTAACGACGGATAGGGCTAGTGAAGTGTGTGTACAGCGGAACGTTGAGCGCGAAGTGGTTGTATTTGGCGATGTCGAGCATGCCAGCGCAGAAGTACTTTGCACGGTGGGTGGCCTTGTATGAGATAAGTTCCATGAGGCGCCTGGCGGCCGGGTCGGAGATCGACGAGAAGGATTGCATGAGCGCGCCGGACGAGGAGACGTCAAACTCGAGACCAAGACGCTGAGCGCGCTCGACGAGTGTATTAAGACGGCGCTCAATGGGCGAGTCATGGCGGCGGAGAAGCGCCTGTTCGGGGAGGGCAACGGCTATCTGCTGAGCGACGCTGATGTTGGCAAGCAACATGAACTACAGGATTATGAGTATCTCCACGTGAGATTTATTAAAAGCATTTCACCTCCTCGATGAGGTCATTGGCCTCGAAGCGCTCGTATGCACCACAGTCAACAGGCTGGCCAGCCTCGTTGAGGGTGAACTTGAGTCGAGGAGAGTCAAGGCTGAGCGCGCCATTCTGGAAACGGCGGGAGCGGAGGATCTTGGCTAGGTCGTTGAGCGCCTTGACATCGTGCTCGATACCAGCAGCGTCATGCTCCGGGATAACAGGTACGTCGCCGAGCGGCTTGCCGTCGAGTATGTTCTGTGCGTTCGAGTATGACAGCTTAGCGGCGCTCTTGATAATCGTCTTGCCGAACCACTTCTTCAGAATGCGCGCATCCTTTGTCATGGTGAACACGGCTGAAAATGCGAGACGCTCTACGGCCGGCACGAGCGAGCAGAGATCCTCGCTGAGGGATGGCGGGAGCATCGGGACAGCACGCTGCACAAGGTACACACTTGTAGCGCGTTTGCGGGCATCGCGGTCAAGAGCGGTATTGGGCTTGACGAAATACGAGACGTCCGCAATGTGAACACCGACGTCATACGTTCCGTCCTCGTTGAGCTTGATCGAAAGCGCGTCGTCGAGGTCTTTGGCCGTTTCAGGGTCGATGGTGAAAAGACGCTCGCCGCGAAGATCCTTGCGAACTTCGAACTCGCGCTCTGGAATAGTCCACGGCATCGGCGGGAGACACTTCATAACGCTTTCCGCGAAGTCCTCGGTCGGGAAGTTGCAGTCCTTGAGCAGCGCGCTGGTCTCAACCTCGACGTCGCCGATGGGGCCAAGCTCCTCAACTAGAGTACCGAAGGGGTGCAGGGAGCTGATCGGGTGACGTTTGATGCACGCGACGAAAAGCTTGTTGGCGTATGCCTCAGAGTTCTGCACGAAGTCGGGCGGCGCCTGCTCGGTAGGTATGGCGATGAGCGGTACACGCTTGTCCGTGGGCTTGAACCAGACGATCTTAGGGCGCTCGATCTGGCGGCGGGGCTCGTCGCCCCTGTCACCCTCGCGCTCGCGGCGCTCAGCCTCCTGCTTCTCCTTGGTCGCCGCAGACGATGGGCGAAGAAGACCCAGAGTACCACTGAACAGCTGGCCAGGCATGCGCTCGACAACGGCGACGACGTGACCGGCGAACTGGGGCTTGATCTCGTCTGTAACCTCCTCATCCTCGAAAAGCATAAGACCCTGGCCCTCAACCTCGACATCGTCCTTTTTCTTGTCGTTCTTGCGGCCGGTGGTCGAGCGCACGCTCTCGTACGCAGTGTTCTCCTCCTTCTTGCGCTTCTTCTCCTCCTTCTCCTTCTTTGTGCCCCAAACTTCGTCCACATCAAGGAGTTCGACGGCAACAATATCGCCCTCGAGAGCGCGGTTGCGGTCCTTGGAACCGCAGATGTAGATGTCCGCGTCGAGGACCTCGGTCGCGACGTATGCGTCGGAGCGGTTGCGCTTGTTGACACGGAGAATGCCGACGACAAGCTTTCCAGTGGCAAGCAGAGGCGGGAGCGAAGCCTGAGGAAGGTAGGGAGCGAAAAGCGACTTGCGCTGGGGCTGGTTGCTCTGCTGCTGAAGCTGTGACTGGAACTGCTGCTGCTGCTGCTGGAGAATGTTCATTCCACCGAGTCCAAGCCCCATCATGTTGGCGGCCATCATGTTCGGCAACATGTTCGGGAAACTGAAAGAGGCCATCTTCTGGTGGTGGCCGCCCGCGGCCTGGCGGAACTGCTGGAGACTCTGAAGCTGTGCCTGAGCCTGCGCGAGATCAGCGGTGAAGGCAGTACCGCCCATAGGAGCACCACCGTCTGGATTATGGCAATAGTCAGTGGCTGATCATCCCAACAAAGCAAACAAACATACGCCAGCCGCCGTCGGCCCGCGAGGCCTGACGAGAATGGCCGCCGAGAGCAGCGGGAGGCATGAAGCCGTCATCGAAGCTGTCGAAGCCACTGATGCTACCGAAGCCGCCGGGCTGACTATTCGACTTGTTGATGACATTGACGCTGTGGCGGCGACCATGACCGCGCGGTATACCCTGGGGCTGTCCGTCGAGGCCGACGCCCATACCCGCGAGACCGAGCTGGCCCATCAGACCCTGCTGAGCGGCGGCAGCGGGGCCAGCCATGCCCATGGGAGCAGTGCTCTGCACGCGGCGATGACCACCCGCACGAGGCGGAGCTAGCCCAGGAGTCTGGAAGGACAGGACCTGGTTCGATGCGAGCTGCTGCTGGTAAAGGGCGGCTTGCTGACGCTGGAGAGCCTCGATCTGCTCCTGAATGGCGATCTTGACGATGAATTGAGTGAGCAAGGTGCAATTACCGCGAAGAAGGGAATGAGATTCACCTGCTCCGCCATGACGCCGCGGATCTCGCCGTTGCTCTCGCTGCGACGATGCGAGTTGTGCTGATCGCCGCCGAAGGCAGCGGCCATACCACCCTGCTGCTGAGGAAACTGGAAGCCGGCGTCTTCTTCGCTAATCGCAGGGCCGAGGTTAGACGAGGGCTGACGCTGGGTGCGGCGAGCACCGAAGGTGAAACCCGGGGCGAGCTGAGGGCGGCCTCCGAGGTTGCTGAGATCCTGCTGCTGCTCCTGAGCCTGAGCGAGCGCGGCGAAGCGGGGTGCAACGAAGCTCTGAGACTGGGCACGAGGATGATGGCCCTGTTGCTGGTGGAACTGCTGTTCGCGGATCTCGCCCTCTTCGTACCCGTGCCCGTCCTCGTCACCTTCCATCATGGAGCCGAGGCCCGGGGCAAACGAGTTGTTGAAGCCGGCCTGCGGGGCCTGGTTGCCGAGCGAGGCTGCCTTGCGGTGGCGGGGAGGCTGCTCGGCCTGATTGGGCGGATAAGCGGCCGCACCGGGCTGGAAGACGGGGGCGTTGATGGGCAGGTTGGAGTGCTGAGCCTGCTGCTGCTGCTGGGGCTGCTGATCGTTGCCCGAAGTGGTCTTGAGATCGTTGATCATGCGCTGGAGGCTGTTCATCGCCTCGTTCGGGTCAGACGCCGGCTTGCTGGATCCACCGCCGGGAGCGTTGCCGCCAGAGTTCTGGCGCGGGTTCCCGGCCGACGTCGACGACTTGCGGGCGGGCGGGCCGCCGCGGGCGCCCTGGGCTCCGCCGCGACCGCGACCGCCGGCCGAGGACGAGCGCTGGATGTTGCGGGCCGAGCCCGAGTCCGAGAGCTCGGCGGCGGGCGGGTTGGGCGACGAGCGCTTGTCGTTGTTGTTGCGAGACGACGGCCGGGGCCCTCCGCCGCGCGATCCGCCGCCGTTGGCGTTCGAGCCGCCGCGCGAGATCGACGGGTTCCGGCGTTGGCCGCCGCCGCCGCCGCCACGACCGCCCTGACCACTCGACGGGCGCCTGTTACTGTTATTGTTACTTTCGTCCTTCTTCTGCTGGGACGCGTTCTGCTGCGTGACGGGTTCGGACATGATCGTTTCTTTCGTTTCTTGTACGTTCGGGCCGTGCGTTAGTTATTCGGTTGTTTTCTGTCTTTTCTATCGTTTTATCGAAGGAGGCGTGCAACGGAGAGCTGGGCGATGAAAACGATAAAGTGAGCACGTGTAGAGCGACGACAACTAGACCGTCAACCTACAGCGAAATTGGAGACGGGGCTTGTTGTGCGAGTAGGTGATGTCTTTGCCCTGCGGGGCGTGTGTGGGTCTTGGACAAGTATTTGCCTGGCAAGGCGCGTGAGGGGAGGTCAAGAGCAACAAGATGCGCCCGCTCGCAACTAAGAACGACTGCGCGACTCCGCGTGTCGCTTTCCCACGCCAGAAGCACTGATGGTAGTAGCCAAAATGAAAGTACTCTCGACCATTACGACCAGGCGCTATCAGCTCTATAGCCATGTACTCTACAGTCTACAGCCCAAGCTATATGTACAAACCCCTACGCCTTGAGAACCTTGTCGATGATCGACGCCGTGTACTCCTTCGTCGACGACTTGCCACCGAGGTCACCCGTGATCGTCTTGCCCTCTGCGATCGTCTACGTACCACGGCACGTCAGACACCGCTACAGTAGAGAATACGCGCTCGCATTCAAAACTCACCGAGAGAATCGCCGACTCAATCTTCGCGGCGTGCTCGTTCAGGTTCATGTGCCTGTGTTGTCATGTCAATTCAGAAGCGCGCCTGCGGGAAAGAAGAAGCCCAACCTGAGCATCATCATCGAAGACAGCAACAGCGCCGTCGGGTTCGCGAGCCCTTTGCCTGTGCATATCATCAGCTCAGCGCCCTCCAAGATCTCTGTAACGACGTACCAGCGATGTCGGGTGCGGATCCGTGCACGGCCTCAAAGATAGACGCGTCCTAAAACAAGCGTCCGTCAGCGCCACATCCATCCCAAATAGTAGTTTTCCTTACACGACCGATATTACCGGACGGTGTCAAGCCCAGACCACCGATAAGACCGGCGCACATGTCCGACAAGATGTCACCGTACAGGTTAGGCATGACCATCACACGGTCTGCATACGGTGCGGGGTTCTGGGTGATCTGCAAGCAAACACGGTCGAGCAGGTCCTCGTCATATTTGATATCAGGGAACTCCTTCGACACCTCCCGGCAAGCAGATAGGAACATGCCGTCGGACATTTTCCTGTACGGATGATTATGTTCAGCCGGGGGCCCCCAGAGACACATCGCTGAACGCACATGATGTTCGCCTTGTGGACAGCAGTGACACGGCCACGACCCTGCGACTGGGCATAGTGGAACGCATAGCGTGCAACACGTTCGGACGCGTCCCAGGTGATGAGCTTAATGGACTGTACAACGCCATCGACAACCTAGTGACCTGAATGTCAACTATACACGTTCGCAGCGTGTAGATAATCGTCAGGACGTACCTCGTGCTCGATACCAGAGTACTCTCCCTCCGTGTTCTCGCGAATGAGGACCGTATTGACGTCGTCGTACGGCGTCTTGAAGCCCTTGATGGACACACACGGGCGCACATTGGCGAAGAGGTTGAACGTCCTACGGAGCGTCAAGTTGAGCGAGACGTGGCCCTTGCCGACTGCACCGCTTGTATCAGCACATTGCATGCAGTTCGCCAAGCACTAGAACTACGCACTGGGAGTAGCAAGTGGGCCCTTGAGGGCGACAGTGTTCTTGCGGACTGATTGGATGGCGGAGTCGGGAATGGCGGTCTTGCCATTTTTGAGGATCGGTGTCACGTCGACCTCCTCCCACTGAATCGGGACCTGCGATGCCGGGTTTGTTATGCACCGTACAGTGTATGTCACATGCACACACCTTGGCTGCATCATAGATATTCTTCACCGACTCGCTAATCTCAGGACCGATACCTGTACATTCCATTCGGACAAACAGTAGAATTCAAGAACGTGGGCAAACGTACCGTCACCAGGGATAAGGGTCACGGTGTATTTTCCCTGCAAGAATGAAGTCAGATATTACATACGCCTGTGAGACTCCTAGACATACATTGCTGCCTTTCTGACCAGCGAAAGCAGCAGTGGGCGCGGCCGAGGCGTACCTCCGAACGGACTGCACATGACCTCAGTTCCCGGTGTTACACAAGTGAGATAGGTCATATCGCGCACGCTGGAGATGGTAGCCGCGCGCGAGGCGGAGCCTGTAAGAGAGCGAGAAGCGAACATGGGGTATGAGGGAGACGCGGGGTGGTGGAGAGAAGGAGAAATTGTGGGCGGGGCGCGCGACCGGGCAGGTCGCGTTCCGGTTGTGTCCGCGGCAGGCTCAACTGTGCGTGATCGCGCCGCCCGGTGCCGCGTGCTCTCCGCCGCCGCCGAGTCCCATGTATACAAAGATATAATCGAGACTATATTATGGTACAGAATAGCATGTACATGAAAGACGCGATAGCAGAGTAGATGACCGAATAAAGCAGGAATTAACTAAGAAGACCGTCCAAACGCTTGCGATAGCCCTCCATCTCCTTGTCCACGTCTGCTTCTGGTACCGGCGTCTCCAACGTCTGTGCTCGTATATCAGCTTGCATCCCGATATAATCAGATATCGTATTCACTGGTAGTTCCCCGACGGATCCAGCCTGGCCTAACTTGCCATCCGTGAGATCAAACAGCACCTTATCCACCTCCTCGTTCGCCTCCTCCTCAATATCCTCGTCCTCTTCGATATCCACGATGTCGTCCATCATCTCCTCCATTATGCCAGCCTAAGATATCACCATAAGAAAACGCATGCACACTTACTGACGTAGAACATACCTTCGTCATTTCCATACTCATATCCCGCATTGTGGCGTTCAGTTGAGGGAGCTTCACGAGGCTATTAGACAACCTCATGATCTCGGTGCTCTTCTGAAGGGAGCCAGTAACCTTGGCCATAGCTGATCGCGGTCACAGTTCATGAGTCAAAAGGGCCTTCAGCGCTGATAGTGAGGAAAGGTTGCGCACCAAGTTGGTGGTCCAGCTGCAGTCCGATCGAGCCCAGACGAGCCTTGCTCACAGAAAGTCGATCCTTCTGCTTGCTGCTGCGCACAATGGACCCGGCACAGATGCGCGCACTCTTGGTGTCTCCGCGCTTAGCCGCCTGCTTCAGAGTCGTGCGCATCTTCGCGGTCTCAACGTCAAGCTATAGTGGCCACACACGCTGAGTGTGAGCGCGCCCAGGCAAAAGTGATGCAAGGCGGACCTGCCTCATCTCTCGGTCAAGCATACGGCCCTCCTGCCGCAACTTGGCTTGCCACGCTTTCACACGTTCTTCGGGTGTAGGGCCATACAGAAAGCGGTTGATCGCTTGCATCTGGTTGTTCTGAAAGACGGAGATTTGACGGAACGTGGCAGGTGATAGTGGTGGTTTAGATTGAAGTAGTGCTATACCCTCATACAAGATCAGGCGTGCGTCATGCGCGCGCAGCCGCTCGCGCTTCTCATGCCTTTCGTTCTCAACCCACATTCATCGCGACTTCCGAGTGCTCACAGGCTGAACGATATGATACTAGTGCAATGAGGCCGGAATAGACGACACTCTAATGTCGTTCGCTGCGCCATCCGAAACGACATGCCTAATACTACTCTTGCACTGCATCAGCCTCATATTCGCTTAGCACGGCTCTCCACCATCCTGTCTGTGACCACTATCAATGAGACATCGCCAATCCGGGATGCTGCCTTGAATTATGGAAACGTGCTAACTGCGAAGTCTCTGTAAAGGGGCTACACTTGGGACATTCGTGGAGTCCCAGACCGACAATCAGGCCAAAAGTCAATCTCGCCTGAGCCGACAAGATATAACCACCTGTAGTGCACGCCATACACTGCTTAGAAGTGCACGCCATACACTGCTTAGAAGACTCTCTCTCACCCACTTTTTGCTCCGTCATGAGCGTTTTCATTTCCCGCGCTCTTGTGCTCGTCTTACTCACTTACGGGCGTCGCGCCCTTGGAATGATCCCCACCGGACCCAATTCACGAGACGTCTTCACAGCCGGACAGAACTGCACGATCCAGTGGACCACTACTGCTGGCCCTGCCTGGGACAGCTTCGACATCGATCTCATGTCGGGTTCCAACACCAATATGACGCTCGTCACGAACGTCACCCGCGGCGTCAATGCTACGAATGGGAGCGCGAGCCCGTTCAACTGGAATTGTCCTGAGGTTGAGCCGTACGCGAAGATATACTTCTATCAAGTAAGCTCGCTCGTACTTTGGAGATGTAGTAGAATATTACTGATATCGCATGTCTAGTTCACGTCGTCCTCCAACTCTTCCGAAAAGGAATGGACTACGCGCTTCACGGTTCGCTTCAAACTACCGGCTACGTGCCCGTGCTGACGGCCCTACAGATTCAGTCTCTGGACGGCCAAAGCGAGCCTCCCGCCCACGTCTCGCAAGGTTACGGGCAGTATGGCACCGTACCGTGGGGAGACGGTCATCTTGCCAACTTGAGCGCTAGCTCAAACACGTCATCGGACGCCAGCTTCGACACGCTCTCGAGCCCTCCAAAGGAAGGCTCGTTCATGAGGAAGTGCCGTGCCCACTACGACAAGTCTCCAGGGTCGGACCCATCCGCGACCATCGACTCACAACCGCAATCGTCGAAGTCTGACGAAGCGTCCGCCTCTGTAACCAGCTTCGCGATTGCACCCGAGGAGACTGAGGTGATGTGCTCTGACTGTGGCGACGACTCTGCCAAGCGTGGGACGATGTTAGCTTCTTCCGCGGATGGCGGGTATGACGAACAGCCGTGGGTGCGGATGAGCATCGGGTTTCTCTGTGCTGCATTGATTGTACTTGCTGTCTAAAGGTTCCGTCTCGCGGTATATTTTGTCATTTGTACTTGGCTTGGCCTCACATTTCATGTAGCGCTTTCTTGTATCATGTCGACTTTTCAATGTCTCTTTGAATCTGTTCTCATAAGGGGAGTGAAGGAGAAGTCGGCGCAGAGATACTTCATTATCACTAGCCAAGAAAGCAAGCTGACAAATAGAGAATGAGATGATAGGATAGGACGAGATGGCGGATGTCTTAATGGGTAAGCATTGAGAAGGGGCGGCCAGTGTCTCGCTCAAAGACAGAATTTCGCGTTGCAAGACCGCTTCTGAGAAGTGGGGGCTTGCAAAGTGAAGCTGATGTTCTTGTACTCGAGGATAGGCTGGGCACTTGCCTGAAAAGGCCGTTAAGTAATCTGTCGCAGCAATGGAACGGCGCCCAAACTCACCCCAATGAGATAGAAGTGGGCAACATTGAGCAATCCCGCGCCCGTCGACGCTTCGGAGGGAATGGTGAGGGTCTGGGGTATCATGTCAGTCATTCGGTTGACAGCCGCTTACGCTACAGAACGCACAAAGTTTTGGTTAGGAGGTTTAGCCGCGTCCTCTGTTGAGTACGCAGGCGTATAGTTCCCCGAGTAAAGCACGTTTCCGAGGATTTGGTCTGCACCCATATCGCACGGCTGCACATCACATGACAGGTAGGATATCACAACTGAAATGTGGCTGACACCCGTGAGTGAATTCTGCGACAAGGGTGAGCATCGCCTAGACTGGACAGACTTCGTGAAGAACGTACGGGGAAATCGAGCTCGACGTTCATAGGTGAGCCGGCGGTGAGAGTAGCGCCATTTGTAGGGTCTGCGATTGCGATGCTCTGAGCGAGAGCAGAAGAAGCAAGGAGCAGTGAGGCGATGAAGTATTTCATGTCGTGAGGGGGCTGGTCGTGTCAGAACGTTCAATCGTGCAGTCGTGAGGTGACCAAGCGCCGAACAGCCTTGTCTCTTTCTTATACAAGCCCACAATCGGCAGATGTATCCGGATCCTGATGATGCTCGTCGCATAGCGCTCTAAGGATCCACAGTGTGGTCATTGCTCAGCGTCAGGCGCACTTCTAGATGGGCACGTACATCTGAGAAGCATGCGGAAGCACGTCAAGACCCAGAGTTGGGTCACCGCGCAATGATCCTTGCTGGTGAGGGTCTTGAGGTAGTGGGGCTTGGATGGAGCGAGTAAACCTCGTGACTAAACACGGCCTGCAATGAGCCGACTACGATGCTTCTTTCGCGCGGCCCGACGCACCTGCTCCCTATTGGTTAGTACTCGAGATCAAGGCAGAGCAGACCTACACGTACGTCGTGTGCACGTCATGGATCGATAAGGACGAGAGGGAGGCAAAGAACATTTGCACTCATACAACACGCGTTGCAACGATCGGCAGATCGGCAAGCCTGGTCTCGTAGAGCTATGCTTGAGCATAGAGATCACCTGCATTTACCGTGAGCATTTCCAGCGCACGAAGCCATCTGTACCGGGACGATCGGTCATGTGTAGTAGATCGTGAACGGACGGTGCAAAGGGGTCTGAACGCGGGACCGATTGATCATACAAAGCTTTCAGGCTCAGTTCATTGTTCAGGACAAGTGCCGTGATGGAATCGATTCTAATAGGTCAAACGGCATCCAGGCGTAGTGACTGGGGCCAGAGGTCTAAAGTGTCGTGGTGTGAAGCAAGGCGGCGTGCGGCAGGGCGGGAGTCGAAGTCGCGGCAGTTGAACTCCCTGACTGCAACCACCACCACTGCTCTCGAGGATGTCCAATAACTACTATCAGCAATACTACAACCAACAAGCGGGCCCATCGGCTGCAGCCGATGTTAACCCGTACCACCAACCGTATGCCGGACCGACATATGCCAATCCCTCCTCCTCCTCGCACAGTGCTCCTGTCCCCGCAAACGCCTACGAGTACGACGTCGGCATTCTCGCGCAGCAGAGCGCATATGTCCCTGGAGCGATGCAGGATAAACGTGGGGGTACTGGAGGCAAGCTGGCCAAAGGCGGAAAGCGCGTCACTGTTTTGCGTAAAGGCGGTGGCAAGACATGGGAGGACCAGACGCTTTTGGAATGGAATCCTTGTGCGTGTCCCCGGACCCGCTGGCACTCTCTTACTGAATTCGCTTTCATCCCCAGCATGGTTCAGGCTGTTTGTGGGCGATCTGAGTAACGATGTATCGGATGATGTCCTGTCAAACGCCTTCAACAAGTACACGTCATTCCAGAAGGCCCGTGTCATCCGGGATAGGCTGAGTCAGAAGGTGCGGACGGGCACTCTTTGCCTCTGAATGCGTTGCTGATTCTGTATTATAGGCTAAGTACGGGTTTGTGGCATTTTCTGACCCAGAGGACTTCCTGAAGGCGTGGAAGGAAATGGATGGTAAGCATAGATACATGGTGCTCATCGCCTTTCGGCTCACGTCTTCGCAGGCAAGTACGTTGGTAACCGCCCCATCCGACTCAAGAAAGCCGACTCAACTGCTATCCGCCCTGTCGAGATAGGACATCGCAAGGCAAAGGCATTGGAGATGGATCTCAAGAAGCACCGCAAGAAGCCCTACTAAGTCGCACTCGTGTATACGTTGTTGCAGGCGTATCTAGGTGCACAGCGAATGAGTCATATGTATGTTGTGTCTTTCGAGCGTGTTAGAGTCAACTGAATTATCATATGATGAAGTACGCGACGTGCGCAAGAGCGCTCTATTTTCTCCCCTCTAAAACGGTGAGTGTATATATTGCTCTTATCAATGCCGTGGTCGGTCGTCTGTGAGTTTAGCTTAGGGTACTACATCTGTACGGTCTCATATAGGAATATAAATGACACTTTATGCGTACATGCAATCATTTACATGGTGGCAGGCAGCCGGCGCGCGGGCCATGATTGTTCCGACACTTTTCTGGTCCCGACCCTCCGCCCTGGCAACAGGCCGAACTTGGCCGCGGCCAAGTGCAAGCTCCGTTGTAAGTACCCGGAATTGCCCTCAACTGGCCTACGACAGTGATGGTGCACAGTATATCAGACGATACGCGAGGTGTATAGTTTTACAGAACAAGGATAACGTACTCGTTGACGTCTTGGTAACCGCACGCATGTACCGCCACCTGGAACGGATGAGAATGCACAAGCGGGCAGTTCTCGCCGAGCCCGGAACGTGTCGGTTAGCCTCGACGTCGGGCTAGATGGCCATTGCCAGTATATCAATCGAAAGCGCTCTCTAAGGCCTTCAAGTGCCCGCTTGTCTTCTCTCACCTCACTAGACTCTGAGCCCTTTCTCCTGAGAGGTACGTTGCGTCTTGCTGCGATATGCGTAAACATCATTAAACGGTGTTATATGTGGATCCAGCGCTTCTTTCGGTCCGACTTCTGCTTTGGGCCGATTTACCAGTCATATATTCCTTGGCCGAGCGCAGCAATCTTTTCACGCCCTTTTCTCCGGGCGACCATCATGCCTGCTATCCTGCGCCTCGTCGCGGTCCTGTCGCTCATTTCCTCTCATGTCTACGCCCACAACCTCCCGAACCACTGGCAACATCGCCGCGCCATCGTCCCAGAGGCCTCCGACGTCAAGGACAGCTATGACTTCGTGATTGCAGGCGGAGGTGTCGCTGGTCTTGTCATGGCCAATCGTCTTTCGGAGGATGCGAACGCAACGGTGCTCGTCCTTGAAGCTGGCGAATCTGGTGACGACGTCGCGAGCCAAATTGGTGCGTGTGGCCCGTTCCGCGATCAGATCGAATCGTGCCTAACTCGCGCCTATAGCTGCACCCGGCAACACCTATTGGAACTCGCTCGTTGGCTCCACCTACGACTACGCCTACAAGACCTCTGCTCAGGCGAATGCCAATAATCGCCAGCTCTCATGGCCGCGTGGGAAGGTCCTCGGTGGCTCGTCTTCCATCAACGGTCAATACTATGTCCGACCTTCCAAGGTCGAGGTCGACGCATGGGGCGCCCTCGTCGCAGTCTCGGGCGGCTCTAACACCACCTGGACTTGGGATGACCTCTATCCTGCCATGATCAAGTCGGAGTCCTTCACAGAACCCACTGCGGATGCTAAGTCCAATGGAGATATTCAGTATTCGACTGCCAGTCACGGTACCTCCGGCCCTCTCAAGATCACGTATCCTGGTTTGTGCGTAAACGGATCCCCGTCATGATGGGCGCACGCTTATGCATCAGATAGCATGCCCGAGCTCAACGGCAAATGGGTCCCGACCTTTGGCGCCATGGGCGTTGAGATGTCGGCTGACGCGTATGGGGGTCAAAACACTGGCGCCTACATCGCGGCCTCGACGATCAACGCGGCGAACTGGACGCGTTCGGACGCCCGCGCTGCCTATCTCGATCCCCTCCCTCCCCGTAGCAATCTCGACGTCTTGACCAGCGCCACGGTTAGCAACATCATCTACGACACCAGCAGTGCGCTTGCCAAGGCGAAGACTGTGCAGTTCATGACGGCGTCGGGCGGACAGGTTTATAACGTCACCGTCAATCGTGAGGTCATCCTTTCCGGCGGTGCCATCGGTAGCCCGCAGATTTTGCAGTTGAGTGGTGTCGGCCCAAAGGCTATCATTGAGGCTGCTGGCGTCACGTCTGTTATCGACCTTCCAGGTGTTGGCCAGCATCTTCAGGATCATCTTGTACGTCAAGATGATACTCGATCTCTCTGCATGGTCTCATTGTCTTCTCAGAGTACGCAGATTACCTTCAGCACGTCCGCCACAACCGCGGCGGCTGTCAGGCAGTCGGACAACAGCTCAGACTATTCCGCTGAGGGCGGCGAAGCGGAGTTCCTGTCATACATCAACGAAGCCACTGCTTATCTCAATTCGACCGTTCTATTCGGCGACGATGCTGCGACCTGGGCAGCGAATGTCACAAGCTCCATTGATTCCGTTGCCTCAACGGTTGTGCCCAGCACCGACAGCACCGTCATCGCTGGCTACAAGGCCATCGCTGCCGCGTCCGCCAAGCTCCTTACGACCGCGGTTGGTCACATGGAGATTCTGTTCAGTCTTACCATCAGCACCAGCGCTGTAGGTATTCAGCTTGCTCTACAACGTCCGTTCAGCTCTGGCCAGATCTACATCACCTCGGCGAACCCGTTCACGTACCCCACGATCGATCCGGGTTACCTCAAGCACTCTGCTGGTTCGTGTTCCGCCCGTATAATGCTGAACGCTGGCTCACCGTCTGGACAGACCTTGACGTTCTCCGTGCGGGCGCCAAGTTCATTCGCTCGCTCGCTGCCACCGCTCCGTTGAGCGATGTGTTGACTGGCGAGACAGTGCCCGGCTCATCGGTCTCCACCGACGATGACTGGAACACTTGGCTCGCGAACAACGTCGGCACCGAGTTCCATCCATCCGCGACCTGTGCCATGCTTCCTCTTGAGCAGGGCGGCGTTGTTGACACCGAACTCATTGTCTACGGGACGTCTAACGTCCGCGTTGTCGATGCTTCCATTTTCCCGCTCGAATTCGCCGCTCATGTACGTCTCATTTTGTCATCCGCATCTTCTTGCTGTATCTGATCCACACTGTAGCTTATGGCCCCCACATACGGCCTTGCGGAGCGTGCGTCGAACATTGTCCGTGCACACTGGAACAACCCACAGAGCACCTCGTCTTCATCGGCATCTGCGACTGGCACTGCATCCGCATCTTCATCATCACAAACATCGGCGTCGGACAACCGTAGTAGCGCTGCGTCGTCGATGCATGTCACCAGCTCATTGCTAGGTGCCATCGCCATCACCATCGTCTACTTCCTCTCCCTCTGACCGTCCATGGAACCCTCCGATCTCGGACACTAGCCTCTCGCGCTGCCGTCTGATGAGCAGACGTCCACTCTCTACCCCCCCTCCCCTCTCCCGGTTCAGGTATCACTTAATACTTTGTTCACTCGATTCTTGAGTACATACCACCCCACCTATTACCCTTGGACATTTCGATGCATTAGGTTTGTGCAAGAACTATGGACTTGATATCGTAGATAGCACGTACGCGTATTCCACCCTCGCTGTACATATGTACGTATACGGCTGTTTCGCATAATCACACCGCAATGAAACTCGCAACTGGCCTAAACCAGCCTGACGTTCGCAAGGACATCAGCCTTGGATGGACGATAGACAGACGATGATCTCAATCGTCGCCTCTCGAGGTCCTTTCCTGTCAGTACCCCTGCGTGCCAGACTAGCGAAGTCACAGGCGATGGCTGTGGCGCCTTGCATGTGCCTTTCGAAGGTCACGCCTAGACGCGTCTAGTCTTAGTTGTTCGCCACCACCATGGATGAGGACGCGTTGCAGACGATGCTATCACTCGAGCCTCCCTATAGGAATGACGACGGCGAGCCTATACCCGTGACTTATGAGATTTTGCCCACCGGCGAATATATCTACGAGCCGTGCGTGCTAGGCATTGGATACTCTAATGCATATCCTCACACACGCTTCATCTGCCGCCAGGGTGGACACGGCTGCTGAGAAGCTGTCCGACAATATTCGCCGCATCTTCTCGGAGCGTGGTACGGACTTCTTTCGCAAAGGTCCCTCAGAACGGAAACGGCTGGATGAGGTTCAGGAGATTGAGGGGGACAAGAAGGAGGCCGATGAGGACGAGAAATCTCGGGCCATGACTGCCGAAGAGCTCTGGCCTATGCGCGATGAACTTTTGCGCCAGTTAGAGTGTGTATCGCTTAAGAATGTTGTTTGCCATGACTATTTAAGACATGGTCGCAGAATCGCCAAGACGGAGATGCATTTCACGAAAGAGCTGACCGGTTTTCTGGCTTCCTCGGCCAATGCAACGGGCAGTACCTCCGTCGGCGTGAATCCCTTCGATCAGCTCGTCGGAAAACAATACTCTCAATCTCAGCCCGCCTCCCAGGCCTCCAATCCAGGTCTTCCAGTCGACTTCTTCTCCACATCTACTGTACACCCTCTACAATCACCCGCGCCGATACGAACCTTCGACACTATGGTGACCATCAGTGAAAAGGATCAAAGTTTGCGATCTGCGGCGCGTATCTTTGATGATGCGGCTATGACTGTGGAACGGAGTTGCACCGCTGGTGAAGTCTACTGGCTCGAGGCCCTCAAGCTTCGACGGCAAAATTGGGCGCTCATTCCGGCCCCGCTTCCCTTTGGTGCGCCAACCGGACGCAGCGCGGATCGGACCAGCAAAGACTTCGTCATCTTCCATGGGCTATCTGAATGTATGCATCGCTCCATTTATCTGACACTGATTAGTTCGCACTCAACGGCGTGTGAAGCTCCAGGGTTGTTCAAACGCAGAGCGTTGGGCTATCTTCCGACGCAAGACGGGACAAATGTCGTTGCCGAAGACAAGTCCTCCGTTGCTCTTCCACAACAGCAGAATGTCTCCCTGCGAGTGAGCCTCACAATAACTGACTCCACTGGAATGCATACAACATCTCATAGCCGGCGACGACCATTGCCCGATACCCACAACACTCATGCAATACTCGCGGAGGCACAGCGGCGAGTAGTGGAACAAGAGATATTTGCCCTTCTCATTCGTGACGCAGGCGCTCTCTCGTATGCGTCATCTCGAGTCTCGGAGCGACTCATTGAACTCGAAGCCGTCCAAGATATGCTCCTACGATTCGAACTATTAGATGATGCAGCGGCTGACACAGGCGAGACTCTAAGTGATGGACCAAATACCGACGCCTGCGACCTCGTGCTCGCTCTGCTTCCCCTTCTTCTTCTCCGCGTTCACGCCCAAAACAAGGCTCGCCGCCTACGTGCGCGGCCAGGCACCGCGCCTGGACATCCACTACGCATCTTACACCCTGTTGTCGACATCTTGCAATACTTCGCCTTCCTCCGGCGTGTACACACTGAACTCGATACCGTCGTGCGCGCGGTGAGCCGCGCAGGTGTACGCACTAAGTTCACCTTCCGCGCAGTAGGCGCAGGCGCCGAACAGGTGCTTTCCGGGATGCTTGATACTGGCGCCGGGGTAGACGCGCACCCGCCCATCAGTGGAGT